ATGTGACTGCTAACACCCATGAGAAAATGTGACTGCTAACACCCAGTCCAAGAAAGAAATGCAAACTGGCACCTATAGCTTTGTAAAGACCTAGAGAGCAAGGAAAGATTACAGGCAACCAGTGCGGTTATCGTGTTTTCAGAACTTAGAGAATTTCACTTTTCTTTGAATCATGTTCTGATTCAAAAGAGCCAATACCAACAAAACATAATAAAGGCTTCAATTTAGGCAGTCCCCAAATAGCACAGCGCAAATGAAAGGAGACAAGAAAGATTTAACCCACTGGATGTGTAGAGGATTGTACCCATTGACCAAGAAAGGACATAGATTTGCAAAAGGAAGTGATTAGTATGCATGGTTCTCACACCTCTGGTATTATAGTTGATTGACTACTTCATTAAATAGAATGACAACATTACTTTATGAATTGCATTAATAAAGAATATTTGTATTAAAGAGACAGGCTGGGTAAGTCTATTGGGCCACAAGTCCATCTTGAATATCTAGTTCTGATTTGCCTTTTTTTTAAATTATGTATTCATCACAAACTAAACATCTCCTGGTACGGATGACAGTGATATAGAAGAACAAATTGAGGAGCATAAAAGTACTGCTTGGAGACAAATATTGACTATATTCTATAGTGTATTGACTTTACTTTCCCATAAAACTTTTTTTAAAATGTGCACAGTAAACCCTGTGAAAGCCGGAAACTGTGGAAGACAGAAATGCATCAGAAAAGAAAAATTCAAATACTAGCCAGTTAAGCTATTGATAGGTGGTAAGACTGCACCCTGTCAGAGGCAGAGCAACTGTGAGACTGGGACAAAATGTCTGTCCACCGAGTTCTGGATCTCAGAGGGTTCTCTGTATCTATAGGAGACACGCACAACATGAGTGGCTTCAAGAGACTTGTGGAAAAAATGGAATTAAAAGATAATGGACTGTTACCATGAACTTTTGAAATATATATGTCAATGTATATGTATACACCCACATATACACAAATACATGTATACTGTTGTTAGGTGCCTCTGAGCCCGTTCCAATTCACAGTGAACTGACTGCTGCAGAAGCAAACACTACTTCCCCATATTATGAGATCTTCACAGTCGTTGCTGTGTTTGAGCGCATTGTTGTCTGTTGCTTTGTCTGAGCCTATTGTTAGAGCCACTGTGCTGGGGGTCTTCCTTTGTTTTACTGACCATCTGCCAAGCATGAAATCCTTTCCCTCCAGGTAACATGCCCAGAGGTCAAACCACAAAGTCTCTTCATCCTGGCTCTTTCGCATTCGGATTGCATTTCTTTTCAGGACAGATTTGTTCTTTCTGCTGGTAGTCCGAGACATACATAACATACACAACCACAATTCAAATACATTGATTGTCCTTAAGCCTTCTTTATCCACTGCCAAGTTTTCATATGATTCAGAGGCCTGGGTCAGGGCACCTTAGCCCTCAACCTTGCATCTATATTTTTTAGCACATTAAATCAGTCGGCAGCAAGATTATCCAGTGCAATATAACCTTTGATTTATTGAAAGCTTTCCCCATCGATATTGATTGTGGATCCAAGCAAAACAACATCTATGACAATCTCATATTTTCATCATTTATTGTTATGTTGCATATTGGTCTGGTTATGAGGACTTCTGTTTTATTTCTGTGAAGGTGCAATCCTTCATCAGTAAGTGTTTCAAGTCCTCTTCATTTAAAACATGCGTGTTTGTGTCTTTACATTTCAGGTTATTAATGTAATAATTTTTCCATTCTTTAATTCCATTCTTATGCCATTCTTATTATTCTTCATGAGGTCAAGGTTCTCTGATTATTTGCTTCTCAGCATACAAATTTAAAAGTATGGAGAAAGGATGCAATCCTTATGCACACCTTCTTCATTTTAAAACCTGATGTATTTAGTCCCTTGTTCTTTTCAAACAACTGCCGCTTGGGCATCGTACAGGTTTCACATGAGTACGATTAAGGGTTCTCAGATGCCCATTGTTTACAAGGTGATACATAATTTAGTATGACACACAGTGGAATCCTTCTTCATAGTCAATAAAACACAGGCAAACCTCCTATTGTTATTCTCTGCTTTCAGCCAAGATCCATATGACATAAACCATGGTACTGCATGTTCCACATCCTCTTCCTAATCCAGTTTGAGATTCTGGTTGTCCCAGTTGATGCACTATGTCAATGATTTTAACTTTTTCTTCATCATAATTTTGCTTGAATGCAGTAATATTGTTCAGTAATTCTTTCAGATCACCTTTCCCTAACATGGGCACACATAGATCTCTTCCACTGATTTGGCCAGGTAGCTCTTTTTAAAATCCCTGGGCATAGCTGAGTGAGGGCTTCTAGCATTGCATCCATTTGCTGAAATATTTAAGTTAGTCATGGTAGACTAGAGAAACAAAATTCGTAGACACTCATATTTTATAAAAGAGAGTT